AACGTGATGGAAAAAAACATCGGCCTGGAAATGGCAGGCCCCCTTTGATCCCCCCCCCCCCCCGCCTTGTCCAACATGGCTCTGCCTCCCCTCCTCCTTTTGTCTCCCTATTTCTTAAAAGCACCGCAAATGGAAGAAACAACCCACCCACCCCCTTCCCCGCTTTTATCTCCCCACCTGAAAGTTGCAGGAAAGGCTGCCGATCCGGAGATCTTTCACACACCGAGGCACAATGACCAAATTGCACAACCAATTGGAGAGAGAGAGAGAGAGAAAAAAAAAATAGGCAGGATCTCCCAGGCTGGAGGGGAGGGGGGGAAGGTGGAACGAGAAAGGAACAGGAAGTGGCCGTCGCTATTTCCAGCCCCCCTTGCAGATTATTTCCCCCCTCCCGTGGCCTCTCTAGGAATCCTAGCGGCTGTCAAAAGAATCCTTCGCCGGACAGAACGTCTGAGATCCTACCTAAAAACGAGTCACAATACTCGGGCCCGATCCCCTGCACGTCTCGCTGTGTAGACACCGTGGGGTTTACCACCCCCTATAGATGGATCAATCTATAGGGGGGGGTGGGTTTACTCGCGAGGAAGTGAGGGGGCGCATGCTCTGCAGCCCCTATGACCCCAGGCGTGCATGTTAAGAAGAAAGGTTTTGCGGTTTTGCTGTTGCGCGGTGCCTGGTCTATCAATCCGTGCGCAGAAGATGCCACTGTGCTTACTCGCAAGTCAGGATATGGCAGAGCTGGAAAAAGAACAGAGGAGGGCGACCAAGATGTTTAGGGGCTTGGAGCACCTTCCCTAAGAGGAAAAGGCTGACGCGTCTGGGACTTTTCAGTTTAGAAGAGACGACTAAGGGGGGGGGGGGGGGGGGAACGAAGTTTGGGGCTTAAGAACAGCAAAATGTAATCCTGAGCAGTGTTCCCTCTAAGATGAGTTAGTGTGAGCTAGCTCACAGTTTTTTAGCCTCCGGCTCACACATTTTTGTCTTCGCTCAGGAAGGAGGGTTCCAGAGCGAACTAATTTATGCAGCAGCCAAATTGCTCGCTCACAACTTTAATGCCAGGAGCTCACAAAATAGATTTTTTGCTCACAAGACTCCACAGCTTAGAGGGAACATTGATCCTGAGTATAAGCTTTAGTGTGCATGCACACTTCTTCAAATACAGTGAAGAAGTATGCACGCACACGAAAGCTTGTCCCCAGAACTAAACTTTGTTGTTCTTAAAGGCGGCACTGGACTCCAAACTTTGTTCTGTCGCTTCAGACCAACACGGCTACCCAAAATCTAAAGACGACCTGACAGAGGTTTATACAATTATGCATGGGATGGAGAGAGTGGACAAAGGGAAATTTTCTCCCTTTCCCACAATACTAGAACGGTAGGGCAGCCAATGATTAAAGAGATTAAAATGTGAGGGAGTGATTAAAATGTGGAATTCGCTGCCAGAGGGTGTACTGATGGTCACAGGAATAAACAGCTTTCAAAGGGGATTAGATAGATTCATGGAGGATAACTCTTAATAGTGGCTACCAGCCATGGTGACTGAGGGGATCCTCTACATTCAGAGGCACTAAGCCTCTGAATCCCAGAGCCAGGAGGCAACATCAGGGAAGGCCTCGCGAGGCCTCTGTGCCGTTCAGACATCCAGAGGAACTGGTTGGCCACTAAGATAGATATTCAGCTGGGTAGCCATGTTGGTCTGAAGCAACAAAACAAAGTTTGAGTCTAGTGGCACCTATAAGACTAACCCAGAATTAAACTTTGTTGGTCTTAAAGGTGCCACTGGACTCAGACTTTGTTCTGGTTGGCCACCGTGTGAGGCAGGATGCTGGACTAGATGGACTATTGGTCTGATCCAGGAGGGCTCTTCTTATGCTCTTATGTGTCTTTCACACATTACACTGATGCAAACCTGGGGCTGCCTTTGCCACCAGGTATGCCCACCGCAAAGAGCCAGTCCAGAACCAACGACAATTCTCACCGCATACCTCCATGATACAGGTGCTGGTCTCACACACACTCACACTTTGCACTCCTTGGTGGACACGTGAAAACCGTAATGTGTGCATGGGACTTCGTCTCGTTGCTGCCCAAACATCCGTCATCGTCGCTGTTCTTGTATTTGCTCCGCTGCTCGTTGTTTCCTCGCTTAATTGCCCACCTACGGTTCCCTTCGTTCGTCCTAGTCCCCAGGAGCAATAGACGTACTGGCAATGTCTGTAGCGCAGCCATCTTAGAAACGGGCAAAACAGACATTTTGTTTTGGGGACGAATACAGCGCAGCCATCATGGAAAAGGGTAAAGCACGCCTTTTACTTATGATGACGCCTCCGGTGCAGCCATCTTGGAAAAGGGCAGGAGCCCATCTCTAAAGAGTATAGTGTAGTGCCCTGAGTCCTGGATAGCCTAGAGAGCCCGATCTCATCAGATCTCGGAAGCTAAGCAGGATCAGCCTTAGCTAGTACTTGGATGGAAGACCTCCAAGGAATACCAGGGCTGTGAGGTGGAGGCAAGCAATGGCAAACCGTTTGAACGTCTCTTGCCTTAACCCTAGGGGGGGGGGGATGTCTCCATAAGTCAGCTGTGACTTGACAAAACTTTCCTCCACTACATGGAGTGTAGAACTGATCTTGGTAGTGTGGAGAGCAATTGTAATAGTAGGGTGTCTCCAGGTGCCACCGGGAGGTTGGCAAACACGAGTTAGTAGCAGGTGATGTGGAAATACCACCGGGTGAGCCCTAGAGAACCACGGCCAGTCCCAGGAGACAATAGGGACTGTAATAAACAATGGCCTGCGAAGGCTGCCAGCTCTGGGTACGGAGATACCAGATCTGAGGATGGAGCCTGGTAAAGTGGGGTTGAGGGAGGGGACGGAACCTTGGTAGGTTCTAATGTCATCGAGTCCCACCTTCCAAAGCATACGTTTTCTCCATGGTAAGTGGGATAAATGTTTTAAATACAAAATAATAAATAAGCAATTTGTGTACTCTGGAGAGCAGCTGTGGTTCCAGGAGATCTCCAGCCCCCACCTGGAGGCTGGCAACCCCGAATTGACTCAAGAGTTGGTCTGTTTTGGCACAACCTCCCCAGCCTGTCAATACCAGCGCCAGATTCTGGAAGCCACCCAATAGTTCCCCCTACAGAGCAGAACATCCTTTGTGTGTCTGTTAAGCGCCGTCAAGTCACTTCTGATTTTATAGCATCCCTATGGATTCATGACCTCCAAAGCTTCCTGTCATGAACAACCCTGCTCCGGTCTTGCAAACGGTGGGGTCAGAACCAAGGTGCCACCAGGAGGTTCACCAGTGGGGCCAGATGGTCCAGCAGTGAGGCCAGGACCATCTTTATTACTATGTATGGGATGTGTTATCTGTTTGCTCTGTGTATTATCTTTCCCTCAAGGCATTGTATTTTTACTTCTGTAATGCCATTTACTTCGTCTCTAGCATGTCATGTTTAATCATTTATACAGCTACAAGACTAGAGAATCACAGCTCGTAATATCCAGAGAACAAGAGACTGGATAGTCCGGAAAATTTTAACTCAATGTTTTGGACCCATTTGTATTTTTTTCCACACAATTTTGAAATATATTGTTATAATCATTCAAAAATATAGTATTGTTTTTGCATTATTTAGCACATGTGCATGGCTTTTTCTTTCTCTTGTTCTCTGGATGATGAATAATTTAGCTGTTTCAGACGGCTGTAATCCTAGTCCTGTTACATTGCTTATTAGAGGTCTCATCCTACTGAGTGCATATCTTACCTGCCTTGCGTCTCAGTGCAAAAGGCAGCCTATAGATAATGCAAATGATCCTAAATGAATAATAAAGCCATGGCACTCACGCAGGAGGCAAGCAGGGCAGCAGGTGTGTGGGTAACAAGCTGGCAGTGGGAAATTTCTCATTCAGATGGAAGTTCACTGATAGGGATTGAGCTCAATTAAGCCAAAATTAAAGTTGACTTTTGCAGATTTGCCAGGAGGAGGGGGAAAGGTCTGGGACGGTCAGAATGAGCACATCTGATTGGCCCAGGTGGATAAAAGGCCTGATGCTCCTGCAGTCGGAGAAGACGACGACATTGGATTCATACCCTGCCCTTCACTCGGAGTCTCAGAGCGGCTTACAATCTCCTTTCCCTTCCCCTCCCCACAACAGACACACCGTGAGGTGGTTGGGGCTGAGAGAGCTCTCTCGAGAACTGCCCTTAAGAGAACAGCTCTGACAGAACTTGTGACTTACCCAAGGTTACACCAGCGGCTGCAAGTGGAGGAGAGGGGGATTGTATTTATACCCCGCCCTTCACTCGGAGTCTCAGAGCGGCTTACAATCTCCTTTCCATTCCCATTCCCACAACATGTGAGGTAGGCAGGGCTGAGAGAGCTCTCTCGAGAACTGCTCGAGAGAACAGCTCTGAGAGGCCTTGTGACTGACCCAAGGTCACACCAGCGGCTGCAAGTGGAGGAGAGGGGGAATCAAACCCGGTTCTCCCAGATTAGAGTCTGCGCACTTAACCACTACCCCAAACTGGGGAGGGATTGGACACACCACCAACCTCACACTGGTTTCTCCAGCTCCACTTCCATCCTTGCCTAGCGATTTCTGCAGAATCTGGCAGACCGGTCCAGAACTGGCCAAGGCAGTGAGGGGCCAGGTGCTAACCCAAAGGGTAGAGGAGCCAGGTTGCCAACTCTGGTTTGGGAACGTCCTGGAGATTTGGGAGCAGAGCCTGGGGAGATCAAAATGCGGGGAGCAGGGGGAGCTCAGCAGGGAGGTGATAAGAGCCCACCCTCCAGAGCTGCCATTTTCTCCACAGGAATGGATCTCTGTCATCTGGAGGGCAGCTGTGATTCTGGGAGAGCACGTGGGGCAACTCTAGTCGGGAGTGATGCCGACGAGACAATGAAGGCCCAAGAGTCCGGCAGCACCTGAAAGACTAACGGAATCTGTGGTAGGGGATGAGCTTTCGTGAGTCACTTTCGAAGAATCTGAAGAAGTGAGCCGTGACTCATGAAAGCTCCTAACCCTGCCACAAATTTTGTTAGGCTTTAAGGTGCTCCTGGACTCCTGCTCTTTTCTGTTTGGTGTAGGGGTTAAGTGGGCAGACTCTAATCTGGGAGAACCGGGTTTGATTCCCCATTCCTCCACTTGCACCTGCTGATGTGACCTTGGGTCAGTCACAAGTTCTGGCACAGCTGTCCTTAAAAAAGAGCAGTTTGTGTCAGAGTTCTCTCAGCCCCACCCACCTCACAGGGTCTCTGTTGTGGGGAGGGGAAGGGGAAGGAGTTTGTAAGCCGCTCTGAGACTCCAAGTGAAGGGCGGGGTATAAATCCAATCTCTTCTTCTTCTTCTTCTTCTTCTTCTTCTGCTGCTGCGGCTGCTGCTGCTGATGTGGACAGACTACAATCCCCCCCCCCCGATCTATCACAATGAAGGCCTATCAGTCCTGACAACCATTATTTATTTCAGCATTTTACGCTACCCTTCCTCTGAAGAGGCGTGCCTTACACGTTTCTGTACTTCATCTTCACGACCACCAGAAAGTGAGAGTGCGTGACTAGCCCACGATCGCCCTTCATTGGCCTTGAAGGAATTTGAACCCGGGTCTACTCAGTCCTAATTCAGCCACTGGCTTATTCCCTTCACGTCAACATAGTGCAAGGCCTCTCCAAAATGAAATTTGGGTTCCATGCGCGGCTTTTTCCCTACAAGCCAAGCAAGCATGGGTAAGATTTCACTCTGTACCAAGTGGGTTCTTGAGTGTATTTCAATATTCAAGAGTTATGTGTGAAGCGTTCTTGTAACACAGCGTTCCCTCTAAGCTGAGTTAGTGTGAGGTAGCTCACAGTTTTTCTGCCTCTGGCTCACACATTTGTGTCTTAGCTCAGGAAGGAGGGCTCCAGAGCAAACTAATTCAGGCAGCAGCCAAATCGCTCGCTCACAACTTTAATGCCAGGAGCTCACAAAGTAGAATTTTTGCTCGCAAGACTCCACAGCTTAGAAGGAGCATTGAACACAAACATTCTTGGGAAGTCTCCCAGCATAGGGGTGTTCAAGAATTTCACTTCTGGGACCGACAAGACTTGCTTGTTCTGGGCGGCCCAGATCTCAGAAGCTAAGCCAGGTCGGCTCTGGTTGGACGGGTGACCACCAGGGAAGTCCAGGGTCGCTACACAGAGGCAGGCGATGTCAAGCCACCTCTGAACATCTCTTGCCTTGAAAACCCTGCAGAGTCGCCCTAAGTCGGCTGAGACTAGATGACACTTTCCATCCCCAAACTGTTTGCCAAGGGACTCCCCCCCCCCAATCTTTCCCCCAGTCAGTTTGCTCCCCGTTCAGTGGCTGACTTTTATTGAAAAAAGAGTGCTCTTGCTCGGTATGGGGCCCAGCCAATGAACAAACCGGGACTGGCTCTGTGATGACATCATAAAGCCAAATCAGAGCAACGCCCTCTGCCCTCACCAGGGGGCGAACATTTTCTCCTGTTCCCTAGGCCCACTGAGGCGTTTCAGGAAGGGCAACGTTTTTCTTTGAAAAGTGTCCTACTTTTTCCGCCAGTCCTCATGCCCACAGCATATCCTATGTTTATCACCACTGGCCTACCAACAGCCTTAACAAACCAAATGTCTTCCCCTTTAGCAAAAGGTTCCCTGCTTAATCACCAGAAGATTAATCCGACTCGCCCTAGACGATCAGGCAAAGTCCCTATTTACAAGTCTCCTTTATCTATGTATCACCCACAGGTGTCCCCCCCCCCTTCCTCCCAGGAACTCAGGTGGGCATACATGGGGTCATCTTGTTGGCACAGTTCCCCTGCTGCGTGACTTCCCTTATCATGTGTTTCATAAGGTTCGTATGACGCGTGAAGCTCATGCCACAGTGGACACATTTGTGCGGCTTCTCTCCCGTGTGGGTTTTCTTATGGCTCTTCAGGTTGGTGCTCCGGTTGAATCTTTTCCCACATTCCGAGCACTGGTAGGGTTTCTCTCCTGTGTGGATCCTTTGGTGGCTGATCAGGTGGTGGCTGAGAGCGAAGCTTTTCCCGCAGTCCAGGCATTCGTACGGTTTCTCTCCCGTGTGGGTCCTCCGATGTCTCAGGAGGTGCTCGCCCCGGAAAAAACTTTTCCCACAGTCTGGGCATTTGTACATTTTCTCTCCCGTGTGGGTTCTCTGATGTCGCAGAAGGTGCTCGCCCCGAGAAAAGTTTTTCCCACAGTCTGGGCACTTGTACATCCTCTCTCCCGTGTGCATCCTCTGGTGGCTGACAAGGTTCCACCTATTCGAGAAGCTTTTGGGGCACTCCGAACATTTGTACGGCTTGTCTCCCGCGTGGATTCTCTTGTGGCTACAGAGCTGCGAGATCAGAGGGAAAGTTTTCCCGCAGTCTGAGCATTCGTAGAGTTTCTCCCCTATGTGGATTCTCTGGTGTCTGTGAAGGTCCGAGTCCTTTCCGAAGACCTTCCCACAGACCAGGCACTTACTCCTTCGGCTTGCGCTACAGGTTCTTTGCGAGACTGGGTGGCAAGTGAGGGATTTATCACCCGGCAGGCAAGTGAGGGATTTATTTCCGCGCTTCTCTGCTTCATCTCCGTCCTGCCAGGCACGTTCCCCCGGGGTCCCGTTATTTTCTCCCAGCATGCAGTGCTTGATCTCTTCTATCTCCCTTTGCGCTTCTTCATTCCCAATCGGCCAGCCTCCACCTGCTGGAATCAAGAGGGAAAACTGCTAAAAGCACACCAGAGATGTGACTAAATTATACCTATGAAGGGGCCTTATACTGAACTACCAGCCCTGACCTGGATGGCTGAGGCTAGCCCAATCTTGACAGAACTTGGAAGCTAAGCAGGGCCAGCCCTGGTCAGTATTTGGATGGGAGACCTCCAAGGAATACCAATCTCGTGACACAGAGGCAGGCAATGGCAAACCGCTTCTGAAACATCTCCTGCCTTACAATAGTCTAGCTCGCCACCTGGCGATGCACAATGCTAAAGAGCTAGAACTTCCAGCTGCCAGACAATCTTAGGATCTCCTGGCTATCCGACAAACAATACCATACTATAGTTATTATTTAATTGTTTACTGGACCACCCTACTGGTTCATCCAGACCAGTATTTTCTAGTCTGATTGGTAGGAGACTCTCCAGAGTCTCGGGCCCAGAAGGGTATAGGGGACTGAACCCGGGTCCTTATTTTTATTTTATTATACGTTTTACACTGTTCCTGCGGCATTGTCAAATTTTGTAATATCCCTAGAGCCTCGGGCAAAGGAAGGCAGACTATAAACAAGCATTTCATTTCATTTGCTATTTAATGGATTGTGCTTGTCGTCCACCTTTCTCACGGAAACTCAGTGCAGATTACACAGGGCGAGCCGATGTGATCGACAGCCGTTAAGGACGGATTACAAAACTAGAAAACAATGCGACAAAAACAGCAGAAGACATAAGAAACCAAAAACTCACAGTTCCATTTTACTGTAGCCCTAATGTCTCCACGCCCTGACCTGGATGCTGGACCACCAAGCCAGCCCCGTCACGCTAGATCCTAGAAGCTAAGCAGGGTCAGCCCCGCTTAGCCCTCGGATGGGAGACAGGGATGCCAACCTCCAGGAGAGACCTGGGGAGCCCCTGGAATTACAGCTCATCTCTAGACTACCAAGATCAGCTCCCCAGGCCCTGACCTGGATAGCCCCAGGCAAGCCCGGTCTCGTCAGATCTTGGAAGCTAAGCAGGGCCGGCCCTAGCAAGGACTTGGATGGGAGACCTCCAAGGAATACCAGGGCCAGGGTGCTGAGGCAGGTGACCAAGCCACCTCTCTGAAACGTCCTAGCCCCACTAGGGGTCGCCAGGAGTCACGGTGACTTCCAGGCTCGCAAGCACATACACAGAAGAAGAAGAAGAAGAGGAGGAGATTGGATTTATACCCCGCCCTTCACTACCCAAAGGTGTCTCAGAGCGGCTTACAAACTCCTTTCCCTTCCCCTCCCCACAACAGACACCCTGTGAGGTAGGTGGGGCTGAGAGAGCTCTGACAGAAACTGCCCTTTTTCAAGAACAGCTCTTATCAGAGTTATGGCTTCCCCAAGGTCATCCAGACAGGTGCAAGTGGAGGAGTGGGGAATCAAACCCGGTTCTCCCAGATTAGAAGAAGAGGAAGAGAAGAGATTGGATTTATACCCCGCCCTTCACTACCCAAAGGTGTTTCAGAGCGGCTTACAAACTCCTTTCCCTTCCCCTCCCCACAACAGACACCCTGTGAGGTAGGTGGGTCTGACAGAAACTGCTCTTGAGAGAACAGCTCTTATCAGAGTCATGGCTTGCCCAAGGTCATCCAGCCAGGTGCAAGTGGAGGAGTGGGGAATCAAACCCGGTTTTGCCAGATTAGAGTCCAACGCACTTAACCACCACACCAAACTACACAGGCACTGCTCACTTAAAATAGTATGTATAAATAAATAAATAAATATCAGTTCCCCCAGGAGAAAATGGATGTTTAGTGGGTGGATTCTATAGCATTATACCCCACTGAGGTCCATGTCCTCCCAAGGCTCAGTCCCCAATCTCCAGGAGTTTGCCAACCTAGAACTGGCAACCCTGGAGACCACCAAGGAAGTCCAGGGTCATGATACACAGGCAGGCAATGGCAGGCCACCTCTATTCTCTCTGGCCTTGAAAAACCCCTGTGGTCCTGAGGTCGCCATGAGTCGGCACCAAGATAATGGCCCTTTCCGCCGCCACCACTTCCTTCATAAACATCACTTTCTGGATATTTCTGTTTCCCGTATTCTGTGGGATCACAGAAGCCTGGGAGCCCTACTGACCTCCACAGGCAGGACGTTCCATAAGGCCTGGGCAGCTGCTGATCTTACCCAGTTGCCTTATCCCATGGGCACATGGACACACTGCCTTAGACTGAAAGAGACCCTTGGTCTATCATCGTCTGTCTTGTCTGCTCAGACTGCCAGCCGCTCTCCAGCGTCTCGGGCATCACCTACTGCCTGATTCTTTTAACTGGAGATGCCGGGGACTGAACTGGGGACCTTCTGCGTGCAAAAGCAGAGGCTCTTCCGCTGAGCCATGGCCCTTCCTATCGATTCATACAGGAGAGGCAGCATTGCAAAACGGTTAGAGTCTCAGACCAGGATCCTGGAGCTACCCAGATTCGAATGCCCAGTCTGCAATGAATGCTTACTGGGAGGGCTTTTTTTGTGGAAAAAGCCCAGCAGGAACTCATTAGCATAGTAGGCCACACCCAACAGCAGAAACCTATTAGCATATTAGGCCACACCCCTGACAGCACATCTCATTGGCATATTAGGTCATACCCCCATGTTACCAGAAGTGTGCTCATCCAGCCACACCCACCATTTGCTTCTTATTCTGTTTACCTTGTTTGTTGCCAAAACCCAAGGCTTTTTTTTTGTAGCAGGAACTCCTTTGCATGTTAGGCCACACACCCCTAATTGTAGCCAATCCGAATGAGTTTCTGCTGTTGGGTGTGGCCTATTATGCTAATGAGTTCCTGCTGGGTGTGGCCAACTCGGGAGCCAGCCGGAACTCCGTTCCTGTGCGTTCCTGCCCAAAAATAGCCCTGCTTACTGGGTGTCCACCCGCCAGTCACTCTCAGCCTAACCGTCCTCATAGAGATGTCGTCGTGGGGATAAAATGGGAGGAGAGGAGAAGGATGCAATCTATTTTGAGTCCTCATTGGGGGTATCAATATCTAAACAAACAGTAACATTATCGGACCAGGGATTCAGCTGCTGCAGAGGTCACATCTAAACAGGGATCGGACCTGGCGTGTTTCACACTGCAAAGTAGGTCCTCTACCCACTGAGCCAGATGGTCCATTAGCAAGAGTGTGGGGAATTACACCGCAGGAAGAAAGGGGATTGGTCCACGTAGAGTTCAAGGACAGAAGAACTCCCCTTGGCTCAATGAACTTGCTCATGAACACAGTTCCTAGCACCAGGTGCCTTGGAACTTGTAGTTTCCAATGGTCCTCACAAAGATGCCTTTGGAAACTACATTTCCCAGAGGCCCTGGCTTCTGGGAGGCTGTTTTCAGCCTGGCCAGTCAGCAACTGTGCCCACTGGGGATACCCTTGGTAGTCAAAAAAGCGGGAGTGTGACTCTTGAGTTCTATGAGGATGAGGAGCCCACAAAGAATAGACAAGAAAACTCCAAATCTATTTTGGATTTAACAGATTCTTACTGAGAGTGTGGCCAACTCCTTGTCCCTCTCGCTTGACCTCCCTGCTGGTTTGTGTTCTCGTCGTTTCTGAAGAAATCCCTTCTTCCAGTGGAAAATTCACAGCCCAGTCCTGGAACAGCTTCCCTGGCACCTAAAACCAGCCACAGACACGTTAGGCCGACTCCACAGAAGGAAAGAAATATTGTTTCCCCATGTTTTCATGATCAATGTATTAATCCCAATGCTGACAATATTCAAAACAAGAGCGGCGATAAATATACATGGCAGGGTTGCCATTCTCCAGGTGGGACCTGGGGGTCTCCCAGAATTACCGATCATCTCCAGACTACAGAGATCAGTTCCCCTGGAGAAAATGGAGTCTTTGGAAGGTGGGCTCTAGGGCACTATATCCCACTGAGGTCCCCTGTCCTCCCCAGGCTCCGCCCCCAAATCTCCAGGATTTGGCGCAGGAACTCCTCCTGGCGCAGTTCCGCAGGGCCTGCAAGACAGAGCTCTTCTGCCAGGCCTTTGCATAGGGGCCGCCGCTGTCACTATACCACCACCGAGTTGCCATCTTCGACGGTGGATTAGATCTGGAGGTGAGCTGGCCCTGGGCAGACGCCTAGTCAACCGAAGAATGTATGTTGTCAGGTTAGGTTGTTGAATGGAACTCATCTGGGATTAGAACTCATCTTGGATTAGAAAACTTTAACATCAAGAGCACTGCACTATATAATGATTGCTTTTATGTTGTTTTAACTGTTGTTATGGCAATTGCCTCTGTTGTAGCTGCCCTGAGCCCGTTGGGGAGGGCGGGGTACAAATCTAATAAATAAATAAATAAATATCTGGCAACCCTCCCCATCACCACTGGCTATCGGTGGGGGACTGCGGGGCTCCAGAATATTTGAAAGTGAAATCAAAATCTGAAACTTCCTTCATATTTATTATTCTTCTGACGTATCATTCATCATTTCTATTCTTAATCCTAGGGCACATGTATAAATGATCATCGAACTTTACGTACATTGTTTTGCTAGTTGCATTTTTATCCCATGACAACACTGTAAGCTGGGGTAGGTTGGAAAAGCGAGTTGCCTAAGATCACCCAACGAGCTTTACGGTGGCGGGGGAGGTTTCAGCCCAGGTCTCCAACAGTAAACCAGCTCGCTCTCCAGGATTATTTTATTATTTTATTTATTATTTTGATTTGTAACCTGCCTCACAACAACCCTGTAAGGTAGCCTTATATAATTAATCCCTCGGGTTGGAGAGGAAGGATCACCTACGGCCGCTTAATACGCTCACGCCGGAAGTGAGATTTGAATCAGGGCCCGTAGTCACAAACTCTGGGCCGCCCCCAGTGAAACCCCCTCACCTGCTGCTCCTGCCCCTTGGTCACTTGCTGCCTCAGGAGGAAATCCTCCACCAGGGCCACCGCCTGGGAGCAGCTCTCGGAGCCCCGCTCCTTCACCCAGCACAGGATCTCCGGGGGCAGGATGGCCAAGAACTGCTCCAGGATCACCAAGTCCAGGATCTGCTCCTTGCTGCATTGTTCTGGCTTCAGCCACTGATGGCAAAGCTCCCAGAGGTGGCCGTAAACCTCCCGCGGCCCTTTGGCTTCCTGGTAGCGGAACTGCCTGAAGCTTCGGCGCCACACCTCTGAGCCGACGGCTTCCTCCCCCTTGACCTTCTTCAGCTGCCCGGATCCTCTCTCCTCCATGGTGTCCAGCTCTCCGCCAGCCCAGTGGGCCCCTCCGTTCATCCCAAGCAGGGATCTGGTCACCCCTTCTTCTGTCAGCCACTGGGTGCTGGTGACAGCCAGTCCCTCGAAAAGGCCCAGGGAGGTCTTCGTCTCGCCCCACTGTGTCGCCTCTGTGAGCTGCGCGTTGTAGCCACACCCAGACTGAGGGGGCTGAACTGTCCTGAGGAACTCCTGCCACTGGGCCTCCCACCTCGGCAACACCAGCCCTTCTCCCGGCTCCTTTTTAACCATCTGAGGGGGGGCCCACCTCAGGCACGGCTCGAAGGGCCCCCCTGCCGGAACGACACAAGGGGCTCCCCCGGCTCTCTCCAATCCCATTTTCAAAATGGCCGCCTCGCCCACACTGGCCTCTGCCTGCAGCCCGGAATCCAGGAACCGGAGACCCAAAGCCGACACCTCTCCCAATTCGGCAGCCATGTCGGTTGCCGGGGCCACAGCTTCAGCTCCTTCTTCAAGGAATGTCTGGCCAAGTGGTTTTTCTCTTGTTTGTACAAAACGGCTCACGTTCTCCTTCACTGTCCCACCAAAACAAGAGAGAAACACACCCCACCTCTGGCTTCGAACGTCAGTACAACACAGTAGTTCTGCACGGTTACAGGGTTCCTCTCAGCTGCAGGCCGGGCAAAACCCAGAACATGTTCCCAGGTGACTTTTTCTGTGGAGGAACAGGAAAACACAATGATACGTGTACACGTTTTAGAGAAGGGGGGGGGGAAATCTGAGTTAATTCATTGTGGGGCAATTCAGACGTGATCAACCAGTCAGTGGCCTCTCCAGTTCAAGGGATTGTGGCACTGAGTAAATCTTAGAGCCCAGAGAAGTTCTACCACAGAAGTCTGTGGGAATAGGAAAATCTCTGCAAGGCATGCCCAGAGAGGCTTCTGTTCTCACAGGGAGATTGGCAACGGGAGATTGGCAAGCAGGGCACAAACTTTGCTGAGTCTGTAGGAGCCTATGATATTATTAAGAGCACAATGAATTACTGAGAGCACAAGATCTGCAACATTTAAGCAAGATAACTTGAGCTATGAGAAAAGAACATTCTGTAAAATACACTGTGCTGTTTAGCTTACAAAGTCTATTGCTCTGTTGTAACGAATTTCACTAAGCCTGCTTTGAGTCTAATAAAACGCTGCGGTGAAAACTGTCGGAAAACAGTTTGGTACAGAGAGAGACAGAGACAGAGCCTGATCAGCTTCAAGAAATCTGTGTGTGTTGTGTCGTTATCAAACCCTCCCAAAGTCTACAGAAGTCCCCCTTTTCTTCCCACCAAACCTCCCTCTTTCTTTTATCAGGGTCAGATTCAGAGTGTAGTATGAATGGGAATATAAAGATTTTCATATATAGGTTTTTCCCTTCTTGATTGTTCATATTCATATTTCTCTGGTTTTTATCGATTTGTTCTTTAAGTAATATTTTATTAGGATGTTAGAAAGGCCTGTTATATAGAAGGCTTTCCTCTTGTAGGTCTGATATTGTTAGCAGACAACATAATCGGTAAAAAGTTCATGATTCGGTAGTTCTTAGGGCAAACCTTTCAATGTCTGGGTCAGATAAGATTTTTAGTCTGATATGAAGAATCCTTGCCCATTATCATTAGGTTAGGTTAAGTAAACACTTAGTTTGACATAGATATGTTTCTTTATATCTGGCCAATCAGAGGATTATTACTCAAATTACCACTGTCTTTTGTAACCAATTATGCGGTTTGAATATTGTTTTCTTGATGATGTCAGTCCATGTATAAAATATCATGTATTTCCTGAATATGTTCAGAATATGCTCAAGGAGAAGATGAAGAAGAAAAAGAAGAAAGTTGTCAATTTTTGATTAACTATTTGGTCTAATTGTTTTCCTATTAATTGAAGCATATTTCCTGAATATGCTGAGAAGAAAGCAGTCAGCTTTGATGGGTCCTTTGGCCTAACTGTTTCCCATATTTCATTGCAATAAAATACAAGAACTTCCTCCTCATTTTGACTTCAATCTTCTATTTTTGACTGGATATTAATTTGTATAACAAGAGCCACCTCTAACCCTCCAATACAAAGACCACTCATTACTGGAGATTTGGGGGCCGAGGCTGAGGAGGGAGAGGTCTGGGGAGGGAAGGGAGCTCAGCTGGTATGTGAGGCTGAGGAGGGAGAGGTCTGGGGAGGGAAGAAAGCTCAGCTGGTATGTGAGGCCGAATACATGGAGTCTACCCTTCGAAGATGCCATTTTCTCCAGGGGAACCAATCTCTATAGTCTGCAGGTCACTTGTCATTCTGGAGGAGCTCCATGTCCACCCTGGAGGATGGCCACTAAATGTGGGAAGGTGCAAATCCCCACGCAGTCTCCCCTCCTCCATTTTCTCACACAACAACCCTGTGAGGTTGGTCGGACTGAGGGTGGGCGCTTCCACACATCCTGAATAAGGCCGTCTCAATCCACTTCAGTGACCGTTTGCAAGTGGACTTTGCCGTTTCACACAGCAAAATCCAATTGTAAGGTGCACTGAAAGTGCATTGAAAGTGTGTTATTTAGGATGGGCGTGACTGGCCCAAGGTCATCGACCAAGCTTTCAAAACTGGGTCTCCCCAATTAATCTGATACTCTGTTTCTCCAGTGCTGTCAGAGGACATCGAGATAAAATTAAAAACCTAGCTCACTGCTTGCCTGTCTATCTCTTGACAGGCATTCTTGCTGTTGTAAAATATCGGACTGTCCTCAGACCTTGTCAGTGTAACTGACCACAATCCAGTGAAGAAGCTTTGTGTGAATGCAACATGTTCAAAATGAGTTACTTGGCTGCTTCAGTTCACCCTCAGAGCACACAACCTGTAAGACCTTGTGTAACCCCCCTGAAGCCTGGGAGAAGAGTGGACATATACCTTGGATCTATCCATCTTTTACTTTTAAACACTCACTCTTCCTCTGATGCGCTCCGGACAATGTACCACTCTCCTCATTTTGTCCTCACAACAGTCCTGCAAGGTAGGCTACCTTGAAAGACGGAGGCAGTGTGACTGGCCCAAGATCCCCCAAGGAAGCTCCATGGCAGAGTGGAGGATCTGAACCCAGCTCTCCCTGACTATAATCCGGCACTCTAACCACTACAGGATGCTGTCACAGTGATTCTGTTTTTAGTATGAGTCCACTGGCACCTTTAAGACCAACAAAGTTTAATTTTGGGTATAAGCTTTAGGGTGTATGCACACTTCAGATAACGGAAGAAGTGTGCATGCACACAAAAGATTATACCCAGCATTAAACTTTGTTGGTCTTAAAGGTGTGCCTAGACTCAAACTTTGTTCTATTGCTTCAGACCAACAGGGCGAGTCACCTGAATCTGTTTTTAGTATTTATTCACTGGGGACTCCTTCTTTCTGCATGTTTTTAAAGGACTTGAAACTGCAAAATTTTACTCCCTGTGGTATCCTCTCTCTCTCTGTCTTTATTTTAATGAATCTGGGAGTCTTTAAGGGCTTACAGATCATCTAACCCGTTCTTTTTGTCCCCACGGCCACAATAACAGGGGAAAGTCCTCTTTGGATCACACCGCAGGGGTTTTCTAGGGGAGGGGGGCCGTCCCGATATGCCTTGAGCGGCTGAGGTTTCTCCTGTTTACCTACAAGTCCTATTCCTTTTCTGGTTTTTGTTCCCTTGCCAGAGAGAGAAAGATCCTTTTAACTCACGTTTGAGAGCTGCCGGAAAAGACTTCTTAAGAATTCTCCGGCGAAAACACTCCGGGGAAAATGCAACCACCAAGCGATCCTCCCGGCTAGGAGGAAGGAGCAGGGAAAATCTCTTTCCCCCCCTTTCTTATTTCCCCCCACATTTCCGGGCCTGTCTAAGCAGCGGGTCTCTCTATTCAGTTAACTCTTTGAAGCGCAGCTTGAGAGCGAGAGCGCTGGATCAGTGTGCTGGGACTTTCTGATCAGTTTGAGGGTTGTCAGGTCACCCTCTGGCCATCAGCAGGGGATGGGGGGTAGGGTTGCCAGATCCAGGCCGGGAAACTCCTGGAGATTTGGGGATGGAGCCTGGGGAGGACAGGGGTCCCAGTGTGGTACAATGCCCTAGAGCAGGGGTGTCGAACTCATTTGTTATGAGGGCTGGATCTGACATAAATGAGACATGTGTGTCATAAAATGTAATGCCAGGTAGCGGAGATATAAACTTTATAAAGGACACAAAAGCAAAGGGTTTTTTTAAACTCAAAATGAAAAAAACATGCCGAAAACATTAGCACTCTTGCAATGTTTTGTTTATTTAACCGTATCTGATAACTGACACCTCTTGCTCTGAATTATTGCATCAAAATGTCTGTGCTGTTGCAATCTTGAGTATGCTGTTCAAGTGTGTATCTGTAAGCGGCAAAGCTACTTTTGATTTATTGACATTCACTACAGAAACCTCATGCTCAGAGTTAAGAACATAAGAACATAAGAGACGCCAATGTTGGATCAGGCCAAAGGCCCATCCAGTCCAACACTCTGTGTCACACAGTGGCCAGAAATACCAGTGCCATCAGGAGATCCAGCAGTGGGGCCAGGACATTAGAAGCCCTCCCACTGTTGACCCCCCCAAGCACCAAGAAGACCGAGCATCACTTGCCCCAGAGCCCCTAGCTATACCTTGTGGCTAATAGCCACTGATGGACCTCTGCTCCATATGCTTATCTAATTCCCTTTTGAAGCCGTCCATGCTTGTAGCACCCACCACTTCCTGTGGCAGTGAATTCCATGTGTTAATCACTCTTTGGGTGAAGAAGTACTTCCTTTTATCCGTTCTAACCCGACCGCTCTGCAGTTTCATGGAGTGCCCACGAGTTCTTGTATTGTGAGAAAGGGAGAAAAGTACCTCTTTCTTTACCTGCTCTTTCCCATGCATAATCTTATAAACCTCGATCATGTCACCCCTCAGTCGTCTTTTCTCCAAGCTAAAGAGCCCTAAGCGCTTTAACCTTTCCTCATAGGGAAAGTGTTCCAACCCTTTTATCATTCGAGTTGCCCTTTTCTGCACTTTTTCCAAAGCTATAATATCCTTTTTAAGGTGTGGTGCCCAGAACTGCACACAGTATTCCAAATGAGGTCTCACCATTGATTTATATAGGGGCATTATTATATTGGCTGATCTGTTTTCAATACCCTTCCTAATAATCCCCAGCATAGCATTGGCCTTCTTTATTGCAGTCACACACTGTCTCGACATTTTCAGTGAGTTATCCACTACAACTCCAAGATCTCTCTCTTGCTCAGTCTCTGCCAGTTCAGACCCCATCAATGTGTATTTATATTTAGGATTTTTGGCTCCAATGTGCATCACCTTGCACTTGGCCACATTGAACCCCATTTGCCATGTTGACGCCCACTCGCCCATCCTTGACAGATCCCCTTGGAGTGCCTCACAATCCTCACTGGTTTTCACCACCCTGAACAACTTTGTATCATCCGCAAATTTAGCCACTTCACTGCTTACTCCCATCTCCAAATCATTAATGAACAAGTTAAAAAGCAGTGGACCAAGTACTGAT